TTTTTTTTTTTTTTTTGCTTTTTTCTTTTGGTTGTTTTCCGTATAAATATTTGTCACGGGCCTATGTGTATATTAATACAACAACAACATAGCCTTTTGTCCTAAGCAAGTTGAGGTAGACAAGGAATGAAACCCAAGATAATCAATGGTAAGAGGCCCCAACGAATTTCTCATGTATTTCATCTCCATAGAACGATTAGGTTTTACGTTGGCTCGCCAAGCCTATCACAACCCTCCTCCTTTACCAGGGTTTGAGACATGCTATGTTGAGACAACAGCCTATTATGAGAAAATTTGTTTGCTTTTTTTTCTTTTTCTTTTTTTGTAGATTATTTTGGATAATCAGATGCAGATGATGGAACATGACACACATGTGATCTCAGATCGTTCCCATGTTAGGTTTGAGATGAATTGTTAAGTCCACTGTCTTTTACTACTCCACATATATGTATATATATGTCAATAATTTTTTTTGGTTTTTATTGAATATCAAGAAAAGTTCATATGAAATTATTGTGCATAAACAATAATACTGAAAATATAGGGTCTACTTCGAATCATTTAATAAAAATATAATAATTTATAACATAAGTTTGCATATTTATTTTTAATATATATATATATATATATGAAATAAATACTTTGTGTTTAGCATGGACCTAAACAATACCATTTCAACACCACTACAAAAAATCACCACAAAAACCTTTACAACTATTTAACAAGAAACTAAATAAAAACATAAACTACTATCAGAAGTAATTAACATCACCAAAAATAGAGTTAGTTTTCATGTTTCACAATAGCTTTGCTGTGTACAGCTGCAGAGTATCCTCACTCAAACAGCTCAATAGTCCCGAGTCGAAACGGCGCACGTACTTGACATCACGGATATGATTATTCCGAGGTTTAAGCCGACCGAAAGCCATTAAAGAGGGCAATTCATGCAGCACGAGTTCACCAGTCGAGTCATCCCCCGATGCAAACACACGGTTATTATTGTGCACCCCATCAATAATGGCAGATTTCGGGAGTCTAATATCGCTTACGTTGGCACAAGTTGCTCCTAATTTTTTGTACTCAGAGGCATTTTTTCCGTAATAGATGTGGCTTCCCTGTGTCCCTTGCCCTGCTGCAGTTAGTGTCGGTTGAGATATAGTGAGGCCGTCGGGTATCTCGATTTTAGGACGGTAGGAAGCAACAATGTCGCTGCTAGTTCTACAGTAAGCTAGAGAAATACAAACTCCTTGCTTGTCTGATTCAGGAATTACGTACGGCCTACAGTAATGACAACGAAAAAAAAAAAGTAAAAACCTTGAACAATATTTAAAAAAGATTAGCATTCAATGAGTGAATAAGGTAATCGTTGTATTTGTATATAGTTTTGCGAAATAAGGTCATTCCTAAATTCCTGATCGATCTTGAGTTATGCAAAAAAAAAAAAGGAAAAAAAAAATTCTCACTTGGGCTATATTTGGTAAAACTAGCTGATATGTTAGTTTATTGCTTATAAGTGATTTTCGAGTTTATAGCTTATAACTTATAGCTGAAAAACTAGCTTATATGATTGGTACAATTAGTTGATAAGCCAGTTGAAATAAAAATTTCAATTAGCTTATTTGAAAAGCTACGTAAAGAAGCTTATGAGATAAGTTCGAGCTTTAAAAAAGCTCGTCTTACCAAACGAAGCTTATTTGAATACATGAAGCTTATAAGTTAACCAAATAAGCTATAATCTAGCTTAGTTGGTTACCAAACATAACTTTGGTGGGGCGGGATATAGAGGAGAAAATAACAATAAAAACATACCGTTCTTGATTTACACCAAAGTCCCATTGACATAAGCCAAGAGAAGACGCAGTTAGAACATTTCTAGCTTGAACATTTCTGGTAAAAGAGCTGTGAGATGAAGAGGGTGAGAGAGAATATAATGAATGAACTGGGTTGCATGTCAATCCATTCAAGGATTCCACATGTTTCATGGTGTGACGCATGTCAAACTGCAAAACTGAGCCATTCTGCACACACATATAATAGCATTAAAATATGAAGGTAAGTGGAAACGAAAAGGAAAGAAAACTTAGATGGATGGGTGAAATCAAAACCTGCAAGCCAGTGTATACATATTGAGAATCTGAAACATCCCATGAACATGACCAGGCAGCAGCCTGGAAAAAGTCAAAATCGACATGTTTAGATAAGCTAAGGAATTTAACTAAGCACTTGCTTAATGCACTAAATAACATCAACGTAATTAACTGGAAAGTACAAAAGATGAATAAGATGGTAAGAGCTATTACCGGCAAATTGTAAGTAAGAACAATGTTGTTGCTCTCTGTGCTGGAACACCAGTAAAAGAGAGACACAGTGAGTAAGACTGCTAAATTGCATCAATTTCATAATATTTCATGTGTGTGTAGAAAGAGAGAGAGAGAGAGAGAGAGAGAGAGAGAGAGAGAGAGAGAGAGAGAGAGAGAGAGAGCACCTAATAACTGATAGTTTCTTCCCTAAAGATGCCAACAGCACAAGCCTAGCATCTGGAGAAAATCGCAAGTCCTTGACAACTTTTGTGTTCTCCGGGAGCTGAATGTCCTCCTTTTCATTACTGTATAACATGTTCACCTAAATTCTCCAAATAAATTATTATGGATGCCAAAATTTATAGATGTTTCCTAATATATTAGTTAAATTAAGATGTATAAAATTTATTATCAGCAGCCAAAAGTAGTACGAAGACACTGAAACCTTACTTTGGTCAGCACATGCATTCCCCCCATCCTTAGAAGCCTTCGAGCAAATATATAGTTCTCACTGGAAGAATCAACGTCAAAAAATCGGGCCCCTTCTATCTGAAAGTCCTTCTACATAAATGATAGTATGCATCCGCAGACATTAATTCAAGGTTCGTGGTTAAAAGAAGAACTGAGCAACTCCAGCACAATAGACTTTTGTAGATTGAAACTTAATAACCAAGAGGTGTCTGTGCCTTCTTGCAACAAATTCAATAAGTGCATTGGGGAAAGGTTTTGGAGCTTCAAAGGGCGTATGCTTATTTTGAGCTAGCCCACATGAATAACAAAATTCTTGGAGTTCAACGATAACATAGGAAGCTCATATTTTTACTTATAAAATAAAATAACTCAAGATCAAGACTTATCAAAATACCAATACCTACTCAAGTAGTTGGTTTAGCTAAATACATGCACCGAGTCCACTTACATTAAGATTCCAAGGAAAAAAAATCATGAAAATACATACCTGCAATGTGAACTTATTCGAACATCTAGCATCAGATCCTGGAGTAACACATGTACAGAAACAAAAACATTTAAAGAGCATTAAATTTTGAAACAGATAGAACTTCAATCAACTAGCAAACATTCCATGTGATTACCCAATGGTGATTTTCCAAGAGAATGCCAACCGGTTGCAGACGATCCTGAAGCTGAAACCCTGCGTTCCTCATTTTCTAGAAGAACCTTCAAGACTTGGATCCTCTGTAAGCCCAGAATTTTGTAATGAAGCAGCAGCAAAACAAGATGCCAGTAAGATTCACAGATTAACAAAGTAATACAAAAGGAGAAGGAAGAAAAAAAACAAGGCAACACGATCAGACAATTTCCAGTAATTGCTCGTTTTGGAATTTCCTAAACTTAAAGCAAGCTAATAATAATATATAAAAAGAACCATTAATATGTAATTAGAAAAATCATATGGAACAATAATATTTACAGAAAAAAAAGTGTGATCATTTGACCGTGTACTTTACCAACAAGGTGATAATTTCCCGGTGCACGGACAAAACACGAGAAATTGAAATATAATCTTGTGGCACCAATTGTTCATATAGACAATAATAAGTAAATGAGAGTAAACACTTCCACAAAAAACAAAAAGCTATCAAAATAATAACAAGTGCTACGGATAAAGTTTTTATGATTAAAATATATAATAATGAAGGCAACGATTGCACTGAAGTAAGGCAATAAAGAGACATCAAATCACCACAACAGCACCC